TCTGGGTCCTCATTTTACCCACCTCGGAAGGATGGAAGGCTGAGTCAACCCTGAGCCGGTGAGATTTGAACAGCCGAACTGCAGAACTGCAGTCAGGTGGAGTAGCCTGCAGTGCTGCATTTAACCACTGCGCCACCTCGGTTCTCTTGAGATATAAGGCCAATGCTGTTACCTTGCACCAAAATTTCTTCTTTTGCTTCCAAAATCTGCTTATTCACTGCAATGAATAAATGAATACACACATTTCTTTCACATGCCAAGCTTCACAGTTTCCCTTTACATGATCTGCTGATTGTCCTTAACTACTCCATAAGTCTTTCTCATGTAAAACTCCATTGGTTGCCATCCCAGGTTATTCACTTCATTCTTGTTCACACATATCACACTCTTCCTGGTTCACCGTCTTTATATATATATTTGGCCCAGTGACACACAGTACTCACATCAATACAACCATCACCATAAACAACCTGTGTTTGGCAGTGGATTTCAACTGGAGGACTTTTTTGGCAGTCAAAAATCAATCATGGCATGTAGCTTAAAGTGCATTCACAGCAGGCTTCGATTTCATGAGTAACAGCTTTTCTCATAGCAAACGCCTGTCAACTGAAGTGAAAGAACAGATACTATAAAATATCCTGAGCTTATAAGAGCTCCATTCTTTGTGACTTATAACATTGGGGTATTAGTTTTCATTCAATCTTCCTATTAGGGAAAAATCTATGTTCAGGGGAACACCAAATTCAGCTTGTTTCCAACATTTGCATAAAACATACTTCAAAATTCATACGTATTTTTAATAAAACTATAATAAATCTGCAGACTTTAAAATTAAACATCTTTTAGGGTTTTAATAACAAACAACTAATTTCCAACTTAAAGTCTGGGGAATTAATTTCTTGTTCCAGAAAATGATAAACTAGTTGTTGATTTTGCGTTCTTAAGCTTGGCAGATCTAAAGGTCTATATCAGATGTATATCAGTAGCAAAGGAGGTTCAGAAAATTAATAAGAAAGGTGGTAGTGTCTTGAATAACTATTTCATTTTCTAGATCCTGGAAGTCAGTCACTGTTCCGACCTGAAACCCCAATTAAAGTTGATCCTCTTGGGGTTCAGCAATTAACAGTCAAAATATATCTATGAGGCTTGTATGAAGATGAAATCTACTATCTATCAAAGATTAATAAGAATATGAAAAATAATTAGTACAGCAATTTTATGGAAGACTTACTCTGGATATGACTACATGATTCCACATTACTAAATATTAGTTTAGAACTATTCATAAAGCAAATGGAACTGCCAATTTGCTGGGTATTTACTAGGATTGTGCCCATTTCAAAAAAATATTTGAAATAAATATTCTGGTTCTTGTGCAGGCACAAGGGCAGAATTTATTAAATTAGTCTAACTTTTTCAGGTTCGATGCGAGCTTTAATTGACATTCATAGTTATGAAAACTACTTACTGCTGGTCCATCTGAAAACCATAACGGATCCACTGTAAGACCCATTGCAAAATTGTCTACCAAGCAACTAGATCAGCAGATGATGCTGTTAATATGGCACTGCACTACATCTTACAACATCTTGAATCTGCAAGGACTTATGAAAAGGTCTTTTTGTAGATTTCAGCTGGGCATTCAATACCATCATTTCAGATAGCACTTAGCAATAGCACTTAGTCTTATATACTTCTTCACAGTGCTTTACAACCTTTTCTAAGCAGTTTTACAGAGTCAGCGTATTGCCTCCAACAACTGGGTCCTCATTTTACTGACCTCGGAAGGATGGAAGGCTGAGTCAACCTTGAGCCAGTGGGATTCAAACTGCCAAAATGCAGGCAGGCAGCAGTCAACAGAGGTAGCCTGCAGTACTGCATTCTAGCCACTGTGCCTCTTTTATTTTTCTTTAGTGAGATCATAAGCTTTCTAAGCGATAGGAAGCAGCAGGTGAAACTAGGCAAAATCATATCAGATACCTGTACAATTAGCAGAGGTGCCCCACAGGGCTGTGCACTCTCTCTGTTACTCTTTTCACTCAAAACCAACCACTGCATCTCAAATGATCCCTCTGTTAAAATACTGAAGTTTGCAAATGAGACAATAGTGATTGGTCTCAGTAGAGACAATGACAAATCTGCATACCGACAGGAAGTTGAACAACTAGCTTTGTGGTGCAATCGGAACAATCTTGAACTGAACACACATCTCTAAAGCAGCAACCTCTCTCTCTCTCTCTCTCTCTCTCTCTCTCTCTCTCTCTCTCTCTCTCTCTCTTCTTTTAGACTTAAAATGCTTTAATTAATAGCAGAGTGATGGTTTTATGCTAGTGTGATAGAAGAATTTTTTTCAAATCAATTTCAGAGCATCTTAGTCTTCGCACTGGCTCATGACCCTTATTACAGATATGAAGTCCCAGGTAACTGAAGAATTTCCATTTGCTAGAAGCAAATGGTACTGCAGAGGAAGCTATCTATCACCTTTAGAGGCCTACACAATTTTTATGGAACCAGCTCTCCCTAAAAGTAACTGCCCATCCCATCAGGTGGCATAGGATGGGCAACACTCTGGGTGCCTTCCCTTTTCAATGGCTGCCCAGACCCTTTGAAACAATCCCCATCCTGAGATTTGGAGGGAGCTCAATTGTTATTAGCCTTCTGGAGGGCTGTGAAGACATGACTCTTCACTCAGGCATTAGGATAGGATGGAAGTGAGCCCAGCAAGTGTAAGTATACAATTGGTAATATATTGTGGTGCCATGACATGATATCTGATGTGATTTTAGGAGAGTTGGGGTTACATTTATTTTTATTTTATGACATGTTGTTGTATGCCATCAAGGATTATCATGTATAAATAGGTGGCCATTTACATTTTCTGAAGAAATTAATAAATATTCTGTTTTACAGGGTGGTCTTCATAAAAATTGAAGGGCTGACTGGCTTTCCTTGCCTCCCAGCTACTAGTTTCCAACACAATGATTGGCAGCAAGGCTAATAAAAGGAACCAAACAAGGAAATGCATCATTATAGTGGGAAGATGAAAGACTAGCGCTTTACTTCCTGTAGCTGCTACTGTTGTTGAAAGAGAAGAAATCAGTTTTTTTTTTAAACAAAAGTGGAAAGGTGTGATGATCCACTATGTTCTGTACTGATCCATGACCATAATCAACTAATCTATGTGGTACCTTACATTATTGTCCATATTGAATAATGATTAGTTGAGATCTCCTGGGCATTTATATTGGACAGAGATTCATTCATTGATTTATTACTTCATCAAACTTATATGTTACCGCTCTGGCTGAAGTGAATCTAAATGGCTCACAAACATTCAATTTAAATCCAATGAAAACATTACAACAATAAATAGGGATTTTAATTTAAAATTCAGTTAAAGTTATTTGCAAGTTACAAAAACTTGGGCAGAAGTAAATGTGGCTGTTCCCTTTTTGGTTTCATTTCTGGTGCCTTTGAATCATCTGCACTCTTGATAATGGCTTGGACCAGTCCTGCAGTTTTCATGGCAAGGTTTTCAGAAATGGTTTGCCATTGTCTTCTTCCAAGAGCTGAGAGAGAATGACTGGCTCAAGTTCACCCAACTGTCTTTCATACTATGGTAGGACTAGAACTCACAGTCTCCTGGTTTTTAGCTTGGTGCCTTAACCATTAAACCAATCTGGCTGTTGTTGTGTTTCCTGTTCCCACAGTGTCTTTAATGGTCAAAATAGTCTCAACCAGCTGTGCTTCATTTCAGATGCGAAATCACCAGATCAGCCTGTGAAAAATCTAGTTGTGCTCCCTTATTTCACATTAAAAGCAAGTGAAGATGAGGAGAGACTTGGATTAGATGATTTTTTTATCTTTATTTCTTTTCAAAATAAATTCATCAGCCACATTAAACTGGTTTCATCTAGCTTCTCTTTTCACTTTTTTTCCTATTGGGGAAACTTTCTTGTCCCCCATATAAACTATCTGGACAGCCATTTGTCTGAAATAGTATAGGGTTTCCTGCTTGAGCAGGGAATGGACTAGAAGATGTCCAAGGTTTCTTCCAACTGTTATTCTGCTATCACTTTCATCTTTTGTTAACTTTCAAACTCAGGAAATCTACAGCAATGATTATTCTCTGACACTTCTTAAGAAGACCATGGTGACCACCAATGTGAAGTTGCAGGGGGGAAATTATCTAGCTTTTAAATATTAAAGAATGATAAGAGACATTTTATATACATGTGTCTGGTCCCACATATTCAATTTAGTAAATTTTTGTCCATCTTTTCAATAAAAATTGGTAGGAATAAATTGAACTGATGCAACTTCATCCTCTTATCTCTACTGGGCAGGAAGCAGAGTGTGAGGAGCTGGAGGGATTGAAAATTCCCCCTACTGAAACTGCAACCTAGGAAAACATTTAGATTATTTACTTTCAATATTTATTTGTTTGCTTGCTTGCTTCATACCTTGCATTCAAAGTGGCTAATAACATTTTTAAAAGAAAAATAATAATAGAATTAACAGTAAACTTCATGCTAAAGTCATCTTTGAAAAGCTTGGCAAAAGAATAAGATAAATATTTTGTTTTATCCACACACTCACCCCTAAAAAAAACTTTAG